AATTTTACAAATTGAATTTCTAAAAAGTTACTAAACTGTCAAAATTTTGATTGGACAAATCTATTTTCATGCGCCTAGATTCAAATATTGAAAATTGGGGTTGTTGATAAAACAAAAGGAGTGGCCGAACAACTAAAAATGGAGAGGCTGTAATAATTTTTTCTCCACAAATTTTATAAAAAAAATTAAGTATTTTACAATCAAGGAAGAAAGAGAAACAGAAAAATTAAAGATCTATACCTGTGTGAGGTAGTTTGTAAGGTATCGAAAGCTTTAGTGTAATATAGTATGTGTACTTACCTGCCAATTGAACATTTAATCCCGTACCTAGAGAATCTATCCTAGAAAATGCCGACAAATGGTTTGTGAGACGCTTTGTATGAACTTCTGCATATTTTGCTGACGACTACTCTGTGCCCTGTGGTTTTATGTCTACATAAAGACATATCTATACTGCTGGAAGATATATGTGTTAACGACGGGACATTTCTAACATAAGGAAATATAAGGTATTTCATTACGAATAAATACTAATGCATGAACACTGTCAGAATAAACCACAAAATAAACACTGGTAAATTCGTTAACTATAAATAAAAAAGTAATCGTGGCGCCACCTCCAAAACAGTAGGTGAAGCGCATACCTATTGAGGGTATATTTATTCTGTACAACATATTTTATATAATTCTTTCTTAATTTGTGTATAGGTGGCTTCATGAATGATTGGTATGAATGCGCCATTTTTAGTCCTTAAAATTTTTATTTGAACGTATTAATCATTTCTATTTCCACTTTAATAATATTAAATGTTTGTGATAATTACTCTGTTTCTTTTTCTGAGTGGTTTATACTAGGAAGCCTTTGGGAATCCACAATTTTAAAGCCCTGAGATCTAAATACTTACATAGCTGACATAAAACAACATCCAGTGGAGTCTTATGTTCCTACTCAAAATTGGTAAGATTTCACGATACGAGGGATAGAGGTAAGTGTCTAAACACAATGATGTTACATTTATAGCTGATTGAAGTTTACGATAAAGTAATGGTGTATGGTTTGAATATTATGTACTGATATAAAAAAAAATTAACACTATTCAAATTCATTTCATAATATATTTTACAATTATCTTTATAACATTCATAACAATATTGACACCCAACTCTGGGGCAAACATTATTGAAACTCCTGATACCTAATTTCAGTACAACAGACACATATAACACTAGTTTTATTTAAAACATACTCATATACTTTAAATTTTAATTTTATCAAAATAAAAATATATATATATCAAATTATTCTATAGACGGATAGGATATTACTAAAAATTTATTAATTAAAAAATTTTACAAAAATAACTACTTCTTTGAAAAAAAAAAGAAGAATTTATAAAATGCTTTAATAAATTTCAAAATATACTGATCTTTGAATTTTTAAAAAATCAAATATATTTTACTTTTTAGTGCAAATGAAATAAAATAAAATAAAATGAAATAGTTCTGCAAGTATTACATCGAGTTTATTCCAAACCTAGATCAAATAGAGATATCGGAAACATTAATTAAAAATTCTGTATTTTGTTATAATAATAGTATACATTCAATGGCGTGAACTTCTATTTGAAATAAATCCTTTAATTATTTCAATATTGAGAAGGTCACATTGATAATCCGGATCCCTTTGATTTAAACGATCACTTAATAATTTCTAATTATGTACAAGATCATAAACAAATTAGTAAACAGATGTATAACAAAATTAAACAACGTAATGAAGAAGTAAAAGAGAATTTAATAAACAAATTAAATGAAAAGAGATCTGAACCAGATAACTATTCTAAACAAAAATCATGTTTTGTCAAAACAAAATCGAGAAATAAAAAATTACCAAAATTTAAAAAGGCAAATATCATTGAAGATAAAGGTATTTTATTAAAAACAGATAGAGGTACTTATCATAAAAGTATTGTTAGAAAGCCAAAAAATAATTTAGAAAAATTGCTACAGGATATTGACGAAAATGAAATCCCTTTTGATAACGACGCTGTTCCAAGTACAAGTTCTACAAGTAATTTATGTATACCAAATACATAGTACATCTGATATACAAATCACTCCGATAGAAAATTTTCTGCTTCCTATTCAGTTAGGAAACGCTAAACTTATATATAGCAAACATACGTTTTTACATTATTTAAATTTAGAAGAAGTAGTTAAACAAGTTAATAATTTAGTTAATCATTTTGAAATGATAAAACATAGTATAGTTCATGTTAATGCTAGTAATCCAATATCTTATCATAGCTTATCACAAAATATGTTAACAAGAACAGAATATTTAATAATTACTGTTCAAAAAAAGATTAATAATTTAATCCCTTATGTAAGACATAAAAGAGCTCTAATAAACGCAATTGGAAAAATTAACAAATGGCTATTTGGAAATCTTGATTCTGATGATGAAGAAAGATATAATAATGCTAATAAAACACTGCAAGAAAATCAAAAAAATATTATCAGTGAAACAAATCTTCAAATTTTATTGTACAAAAGACTTGTTGTTCATTATAATAAATCAATCACAATCTTAAGCAAAAATCAAGAAAAATTTAAAGTTGATATGGAAAAAAATCAAGCAGCTATTTATAACAGAATTAATACACTTGAAAGTTATATTAGTTTTCAGGCCATTGTATCACAGATTGATTTAGATTGTCAAATGGCAATTTCTTTTATACATAATTTAAAAAATGCTATAACCTTTGCAAAATTAAATACTTTACATAATTCTATAGTTTCCAGCTCAGACATAAAAGACATGATAAAATATTTACATAAAATATATAATATTGATCAAATTCCGAAATTTACAAATTTACTAACGTATTATCAGTTCTTAGGAACGCAAGTATCAATTTCAGAGTCCAAGTTAATTTTTGCAATATATTTTCCTATTTTTGAAAGTAATACCTTTGAATTTTATCATTTATTCCCAATTATCCAAAACCAAAAAATGTATACACCTTTATTTCCCTATTTGGCACGAAAACATCAAGAAACACAGTTTGAACGAGAAGAATGTCCATCCCTTGAAAAAATTTATTATTGTCAACAGAATTTCATCCCCAGAGATAATTGTACTCTCCAACTTCTTGAAGGAAGAACTTTGACAAATTGTCATATTTTAAATGTTAATTTAGAAGAATGAGTATTTGAAAAAAATCGCAATTAATGAAGTCCTAATAATCCCGTCAAAACCGGAACAAATTCTTGCAAAATGTAACAGTAACCAGTATATAGACATAAGATCACCTGTACTAATCAAGATACCAAAATCTTGTGAAATTTGGGCCAACGAAAGAAGATACATCAACAATATTCAACTGAGCAGAGGAAAGCCATTTATTTTACCGAAGATCGACATGAAGAAAATCCAAACTTCAAAGTCTTATCAAACTTCCAATATAATTAAACTAGATTTTAATGATTTATATGAAATTAATCAAATTTCTAAACAATTAAAGCCAATTAAAGAAATTCAAAATAATTTTAATTATTCAAGCACTTTTGGAACAATTTTTGTAATTTTTATTTGCATAATTATTTTAATATTAATTAAATACAGAAGACAACTTTTAAGAAGATTTAGAAGAAAGAAGAAAGAAAACGAAGAAATTGAATTAGAAAATCCTACAGAAGATGTTTTGAAAAATAGTTCCATATTTTTCAAAACTTAAGGAGGGAGGAGTTATATATTGAGAATATAATAGACTCTTTTATATATTATCTTTGATTAATAGTCAGTTTTACTTTATAAATAGGAGTAGAACCTTATTATTGTGGTTATTTGTCTTTAGTTACTTGACTATAGTTATTTGTCTCTAGCTATTTGAAGTAGCTTTAGTTCAGATATCCATTTAAGTGTATTTTATACTTAATAAAAATTTTTAAAAATAAAAGTTCCATTTTGGAATTTATAACTTAGGTTTTAGCATTATTTCACCATAATATAATATTAATAATAAATAGGCGAAACATAAGTTTCATGGAAAAACATTAATTTCTCAAAAGGGGTGGAGATACATACGTTTAACTTCTTGTAACAGCATATAAAAAATAAAATATAAATCTAGCTTCGTTATTTGAAACAATTATTAAAAAGCTGAAACAAAAATATATAGCACTTTTCAAATTAAGTACCATACGAACCATGTTCCTATTTATAAAAATGACAGTATAACTCAAAATTTGTAACTGGTAAGGAGTAGAGATTTTTATGAGTTATGAAAAGGAGCCATACTTTTAATTTATCAGTGAAAGAAACTTTTCAGTTGAAGTTGTCCAATAAAATTTAAGTAATGAATAGTAAAAACAAATTCTAACTGCGGTAGGGAGTTTCCAACGTTTCATTTCAACTTAATATTTTTATCAAACATACACTGATGAGGAAATAGGTACTCAAACCTTTTTTTTTTATGTAGGTATGTGCATATAAATTATTAATATTGCTCCTTTGGAAGAAGCAAAATAACGAGAACTTGCTTCAATTAGTATTCATAATATATTATATGGTAGCAAACTTGGGTCATACTTCAATAGAGTTTTGCGAATTTGTAATGAGCGATATAAAACTTTTTTAAAAGGGTTTATGTTTGAGTTGTTAGGGTTCCCGTAAAGTTGAATCGTGCATTGAGATTTTTTAAGAATTCGCTTTATTACTTTAGCTTTAAAGTAAATTTATTTATAGCTGGGAATAATTACCCTCACATCGTATGTGATTCTAATAGAGCCAGGTAAAATAAAAGGCATCATTGTTATTTAACTCAATTGTTATCTCCATCGTTACTATTTTGTGCCGCGCTGTCCAATTATCGACGCGGTATGCATTTATAAAATAAAAAATGTTTTTAAAAATAACTTTGCAACCGTTTACAAAAATACTTTTATAATCTCGGGATGTATCACAAGGAAATTTTAAGCTTTTACTTTTTACTTACTACTCGTATGGAACTTCTTCAGTGGATCAACTATAGCAAAAAATCTATCTGCAGATAGAGCTGTTAGAGTAAATACTGATACTCCAATGGATATGTCCTTGGCGAATTCAGACAGTTTGCAAATCAACTCTCCCCAGGGCCATGATTCCATGGTGTAGACGATCGATGTGAACGGTACACTAGTTAAGATTACCAGTAGATCTGCCAGGGCTAGAGACAGAATGTACCTGAAAAAGAAAAATTAAATTATTGAGAAGTTATAAGTAACACAATAAAACTAAATCACTCGGTAATTTAATCTTAAAAATTATTTAAAGAACAAATTAGGATTTTGAAACATAAAATTGTATTTATATGCGCACCACTGCGTATACTTCGCTATGTTACGTATCTCGAGAATATTGATAGCTTTAAACTTATGCAACGATAAGGTAGCCCTGTACATAGACATTTATGAAAAAATTTGAAAACCCACCCATTTAAAAACTACCAGATATTTATTAAAACAATAAAATGAAAATTGTATAGATTTCATACAGAATGAGGCGTAAAAGTTTTTTTGAAGTACTTTTGAAAATTTTCAAAAGACATACTTTTCGAAGATTTACAAAAAAAAATTTGGTTTTTCCAACCTAAGTTTTGTTATTATTGGTATTCCCTGAAAATTTCACAAAAATCGGACAAAAAATAAAGGCTCATTTTTGCTATATATGCGGAGAATATGTGTTTAACGATTGTATAAAAGTTATATCAGAGTTGGTGAAAAATACCTATTTTGAGTATTTTGGGATGCTCTTGGATAAAAATGAGAAGTCTTGGGCTCCCAATTGTGTTTGTAAATCGTGTGTGGAATATTTAAGATTATGGAAGTGGTAAAAGAAATGCCTTTAAATTTGAAACACCGACTATTTGGCGAGAACCACGAAATCATGTCGAAGACTCTTATTTTTGTACTGTGAACGTAAACGGTTTAAACACTAAAAATCGAGGTAAATGGCAGTACCCAAGTACTAGTTGTGTTCACCGTCCAGTGCAGCGTTCACTTGACTCTTAAGTGCCTAAAAATATATCTGAATCTTTAGAACAAGACATTGAAGGACCAAGCTCATCACAAAATGATGCTGATTTTGAAGGTATGTCAAATGAGCCAAAATGCTTATCCCAAAATGAGTTAGATGATCTTGGAACAATACGAACCAAACGACTGGCGTTTATTCTTTGACAGCTCAAAACATAGCCTAAAATGTATTCTATTACATAATGGAAATAAATACGCTGGGGTACCTATTGCCCACAGTATAAAGTTAAAGGAAGAATATTGTAACATTTCGTTAGTCTTGAACAAAATAAAATACAGTGATCATAAGTGGAAAATTTGTGTCGATTTAAAAATGGTGAACATTCTTCTCGGTCAAAAAAGTGGTTACATTAAGTTTTCCTGTTTTATATGTCTTTGGGACAGTAGAGCTAAACAAGAACATTGGGTAAGAAGAAATTGGCCTTTGAGAGAAAATATGAAGCCTGGAAAGCAAAATATAGTCCAGAATTCATTAGTAGCTTGTGACAAAATTATTCTTCTACTATTACATATAAAACTGAGCACCATCAAACAGTTTGTTAAATCACTAGATAAAGACGGAAACTGCTTTTCTTACATTTTCCAAAAATTTCCTCAGCTCACTATGGAAACGATTAAAGCCGGTATTTTTGATGGCCCTCAAACGAGACAACTTACGAAAGATACTTAATTTAAAAATTCTATGACTAAGTTAGAACTAAAGGCTTGGACAGCTTTCGTCTCTGTGATGCAGAATTTTCTCGGAAATAAAAAAATCTGCAAATTACATTGAACTTGTAGAAGACCTTCTGCTGCAATTAAAAAATATGGGTTGCAATATGAGCATATAACTCCACTTCCTCCATAGTCACCTGGATAAGTTTCCGGAAAATTTAGAAGATATGAGCAAAGAGTAGGGAGAGCGTATGCATCAAGACATACGCGTCATGGAAGCGCGCTATCACGGTTTCTGGGACACGAATATGATGTCTGATGCGTCATTTTCCAAAGTCTACACATAAGAGAAGAGCTTTAAAACGAAGTTTTTTAAAACTCAATGAATAATTATTTTTTTTAGTAAAGTTTTTCTTAGTAAATACATTTTTTTTTCTATTTTATACCTACATAGCTAAAGGTCAGAAACTAGAGTTGATAAAAATCTTCTAATTATATTTTTGAAAATAGCATATCATATGTAGTCAGCAACAGCCTTAGATAAAAGAGACCAGAGATATAACATACACCGGTGTTTAACCTGCGCAAATGTTGCCAATTTCTAAAGAAAGGTTAACGGAGTGGGGGAACTGGGCAGGGACTCGAACTATGTGACAGGGACCGGACTTTGTTTATTAGCATCATATTGAACTATCAGATTTATTTAAAATATACGTTTAATGGAATTTTGTATTATGAAATAAATTTAACGTGATTTTTTAATATCAAACAGATGCCACGACATTTTATGTAAAGAGAAGACCTTTAATAGAATATTTCGTTAGCTATTATTTACTATGGACTTTTCTGTAAGAGACTACAGTAAAATGTTGAAATAGAATATTGTTAATCGAGTAAGAAATGGTACTCATTGTCTAAGAGTATTATAAAAAAGCATGTGCGCAGGCGAATACTGCAAATCAAACCTTGTGAGTTGAACGTTATATTTTTTCTACGACTATCACATAATATTAAAATTTAGTCAAAATGAGAAAATGCTGTTTTGTATTATAACCTCAGAAAAAGATATATTAAAGCTTGTTTCTTTAGGAATGTTAATTAATATAGAGGATGCGCCACATAAAACTCTAGAAATGTATATGTCTGAAACCAGATAACATTTTAAAATTTAAACCTATTAAAAGTCATTTGGTCGCTAGGAGTGGGTGATTATCGAAATAAATTATTGATCATTAATAATAATCGATTATTTTCGATCAATCGATTATTTTCAAACAATCTATTTTTGTTCGTATTTCCTTTAAAATTGACTACTTGATTATCTTTAAAAAATCAGAAAAAATAGATAAATTAAAAAGCCAATTAACCGATAAATCAGTGTTTACAAAAAATAATAAACAAATTATCGTTCATTTTAAATAATCGATTATTTTTAATTTTTATTTTTTTTTTTCGTATTTCCATTGAAACATTATTCGATATTCTTTGAAAAATCTAAAATAATCGATTAATCAAAAATAATCGATTAATCAAAAATAATCGATTAATCAAAAATAATCGATTAATTAAAAAGTCGAATAATCGATAAATCGATTTTTCAAAAAAAAAATAATTATTTCCTTTAAAATCAATTATTCGATCATTTTTGAAACATCGAAAATAATCGATTAACGGAAAATAACCAACTAATTAAGAAGATTCTACGATAAATCGATTTTCAAAAAAAAACTGAATAATTTATTATTTACAAATAATCCTTCTCTTTTTTTATATTCCTTTTAAAACTCATTATTTAATTTTCTTTGAAAAATCGAAAATAATTGATTAATAAAAAGCTGATTTACCGATAAATCAATAATTCTAAAAAATAACCGAAATATCGATTATATAATATAACCGATTATATTCGATCAATCGATTATTTTTATATAATCTATTTTTTGTATTTTAAAACAAATTATTTGAATACCTTTGAAAAATCGAAATTAATCGATTAATCTAAAATAATCGATTAATCGAAAATAATCGAAAATAATTGAAAATAATCGATTAATTTAAAAACTCTATTAAACAATAAATCGATTTTTCTAAAAAATCGATTATTTTCAATAAATCGAATATTTTGAATAAATCTACTCTCTTTTTGTAATTCCTTTATAATCGATTATTCCATTACCTAAAAAAAACGAAAAATTTTTATTAAAAATGTTCGATTAATCAAAAATAATCTATTAAAGATAATCGATTAATTATAACGGATAAATCGATTTTCATGAAAACGATAAATCGATTATTTTTGTAACCCCTATCGGTCGCATGCTTTTATCAGAGGATTTAGCTCCAAAATTTAGAGATTCGGATTTATTGATCCTGTTATCTTTGAAACCGCATTCGATTGTATAATAAATATTGCTAGAATTTAGATTTTTTTAGTAAACGAAGATATTTTTCGAGTTGTTTAGGGGTTTATAATGAAACATTTTACTAATAATATGACTAATTTCCGTAACTTTTTTGCTTATACTAGATCATATTGCGCGTTTTACTTTGTTTTAAGATTCAAATGTCACTTCTGATTTAACCGCAAATAAAATAAACCTTGAAATTTTAAGTAGGTGAACCTGTATTTCATCTAATATTCTTGTAAAAATATCTAATAAAGGGCTAAAAACCACTTTTAGTAAATATTCTTATAAAACTACTTTTTAAAAACAAAATTTCGTTAGTAACAATGCCTATTTACTTCTTATTTAGATTAAATATTTATTGAAACCCCTTAATGCGGATCTGAAGTATTCAGCTCAAAGAATCATGGCGACTTTATGTCAAAACGTCAACAAATATTTACCGCTGAAAACGAATATATTTCTTATTTTTCATAACATTGACACATATTATTTGTATATACAATTTTTCACCATACATCGTGGCATTTTCAACTTGAAATTGAATAACTAAAACACTTTAAATTGCTAATAACATCAACAAATAATTCAAAAACGGCGGTCCATAAATGATTTACTCACGCGGAGACAAGCAAAGAATAGAAATTTCGGAGCAATTCGGGTGGCGTCGTGAACACAATGATTTTTAATTGGTGGGTTACTTAGGTTTGGAATAGACAACATGCGCAATGTGCAATGTTACATCTCCGGTCTCTTTTATCTAAGGCAACAGCTGAAATTTCTTCGGCAACAGATGTACTGTAAACTAGCGTAATGATTGGCTGCTTTTAAAATGGTCCAGTTAGAATGTTAGAAAAACCAAAAGGACGATGTTTATTATTTATATTCAAGTGGGACGTTTTTTAATTAAATACGATCCTTTCAGTGCAATTTTGAATTCTTTTTAACTTTTTTAGGATCTGTAATCTTTAATTTTTAAAATTCTTAGATACCTTAGTTAAATTCTGCCGACTTTTAAACGTAATTTTTGTTTTAAAAACTGCCCACCCTGTATATAACTGATCGGAAGTATAACTGGGTTTAAGCCAGA